AAAAAAAAAAAAAAAAAAAGGAAAAGAAGGAGACGCACATTCTAATGCTCCCACTACCCCCAGGATGATCGGATCGGTGACGACCATCTCAATGATGGTGTTATCGTTCAAGAGAATAATCGATTTCATGATGTTGCACAGGCGATGCAGGTCCGGAAGACTCTCAAGGTCCTCGGCCATGGTGACGAGGGGTAAGAGCTTGGGAATGTACTCGTCCCGGATGACGAATTTGGACAGGGCGTCGCGACCGGCCTGGGTGATACTGGCGGCTCGCATCATATGGTCGATCTCCGGAAGGTTCCCCAGCTCGGGGGCGGGTAACGTGATGGGCTGAAATTCGAGATCGTCGGACAAGGCATCATCTAGGCAGGAGAAGAGGGAACCCCGGTCAGTCTGAGTAGGCCCGGCCGACATCTCCCACCGACGGAGGGGGTCTCACCTGCGGCGGCTATGTTGTGCAGATGCTGTTGCGCCGCATTGACGAAATTCCTGGACGAGCCGTGTCAGCGCACGGCGCGAGGGGCACCCACAGCGATGCCTTACCAGATGACCGAACAGCCCTCGGCTTCCTGGAAGCTCAAAGCCATATCCGTCCCATTGGTTTCCGTCCACACGATGAGGGTCTCTGATAGCGTCGCACCCGGATCAGTATCACCTCCATCCCAGAATCATATGCGCGGGGGGGAAGAGGGTCGCCGGTCGGACCTTGTTGTTTTTGATAGCCATCATCCTTGAAGATTTTCGTCTCCAAGAGGACGCGATCGGGTTCATCTTCGGATTCGACAAAGATACGGTAGTCATCCTAGATCGATGTCGGCGACGCGTTAGTCCGGTCAAACCGGCTGGATGATGAAAGGGGAGAGGGACGGTGGTGGGAGGGATCATCGGCGCGACCCGAGGTGGTGCAGCGTTTGCGCCCGACGGGGGGGGGGAAAGATCCCCAAAGCGATGCGACTTCGGTACTTACGTCGTGGCTCTGACCGGTGCAAAAGCCCGTTCCCCGATCGAACCAGTCATTATCACGCAGTTCATAAACCTTGACCCGCTTGCGATCGCAGGAGGATTGCGCATCCAACGCCATGGTCCGAGGGAAAGGCGAGGTGGCGTCTCGTCACTCCGGGACAACTCAGGGACGAGCGTACCGGCGCGAGGAGAGCCCCGAATTCGCGGAGAGATGTGGGAGATTGAACTGGGGGATGGGAGGGGGGAGATGCGAAAGGACAGGGGAAAGAACAATCAAATAAAAAAGAAAGGAAAGAGAAGAAAGGAAGGGAGGAGGGAGAAGGAGGAGAGGATGGAGAGAGATGATAACGGGAAGAGTCGACAGTTGTTGGATGATGATGGAAGAAATCAATCCGTATTATTAGAGATGTTGCAAAGTTTGGTCCGGGTTGGCGCCCCAGGCGGAGAAGCCGGTCGGGAAGTTGGCTGGACCTTTTTTGTTCTTCTTCTTCTTCTTCTTCCTTCACTCCTTTGTCTGATTCTAGACAATGATTCTACTCCTGAGACAACTTCGGATTCTGATCTTTTCTTCTGGTTTCTTTGGATTGACAGGATTCTTTGCTCTTCCATGAAAATCCCAACACTCACGCGACCGACTGAGAAGTACAGCGCAAAGGGACTCCCCCAACAATAGTCCGAGGTACCACTTGGCTCGATTGACGTGGAGGGATGAGGTCAGAGTCGTGATCGATCGAGAGGAAATTAGGAAGAGATCAATCCAGAAGACATCAGACCAAATTGAAGAAGAAGCGAGAGAACTCGATCCAAATAGACGAAATGTCCACCGATCAGGTGTTCAGGCGGCGGAATTGTTTGACTGACCACCACGACGTAATAACTACTGGTGGAGGATCTGCCTCCAACCAGGGATCTTGACCAAAAATAGTTCAGTTGTTGAGGTTGAAGTTGGAGTAACTGTCGGTGTTGTTGTTCTCATTCTATCCAGATGGAGTCATGGAATGACGTGACCCGCTGATGGTTCTATAGAAAGAGGCTAGAAGGACCAAATCCAGCAATATATAATGATCTTGATCGCTAATTCATCCTTCAACTCTACCCCATCAATCGGATTGTTCTCCCTTGGCTCAACTCCCTTGACTCCTTGATTACCCTTTTACCTTATTTATTTACCTTTATGCTTCTTCATTGACGAAGCACAAAGAAATTCGTACCAACCGGAGCTGACCCACTTGAGCAGACGGTAACTACCTAATGTCCGAACAATAGACCATCCGTCCTTACCTCCTTCGCCAACTGACGGTGATACTAAGAATAGGTCAACGCAGAATCGACCTCCCCCGCGTTATATGGGTGCTCACATCGATCGACGACTGGGAGATGAATTCCCATGCGTGTCATGACGCCGGGATTCGGTCTGTCTTCTTCACGGTGGATCAGGCATCGGGAACGATCTATATTGGGCATCAACAAGGCCATGTGGAAACTCCTTTCGTATTGGTCGATACATGGACCTTCTCTCGCTGAGGTTTGCCTCATGACTTCCTATTCTATATCATTATCGGCATCATGACAACCGTCAAAACATCATGGATCATGACTCGACGATCAGGATCGTCGCGTCCGAGCGCCCTGGACACTGGATGCCTGAGGCGTGCACATTCAGGTGTCCAGGTGTCCACCTCAGGTGTCAATCCTGTCCTATCAAGGAAGGCGGTGGCACACAGCAATAAACCACCAGTCTGGCCTGGCAGCCTGAGGTTCGCGCGGGAAGCCTGAAAATAATTCCCAATCGGGAAAGGTTCGACATCGTCGCATCCCACCTCGTCCCCTCTTTTTTCCTTTTTTTTTCTTCCTTCAGGTTGCATTGCTGCTCTTCTTCCGACATCCAATCCCCTTCGGACTTCTTGAGCGTGTCTCTTCTCCACGACCTTAGACGGGCGACTTCGGGAGTTTTGCGCTCGTTTTGGTCTTAAAGCTCCCATTCACGCCTGGCCTTTTCCCAGGTTCCATCAGTGTTGGAGATACTTCGATATTGACGTCAAGTCTTGCGACCATTGCAGCTACTACTGATCCTTAGGTATTTGCACCTCTTCACGGTCGCCGACTTCCTGTCCCACAATGTCAGATAGCAAAGATCAAGTTACCACCCACGCCGCCTCTCTGGGGGTCACCGCCGCCAACCCACTGGCCGAGCCCTCGAAGCAGCAGACCGCGATAACGCCGGATGTCAATTCCGCGGATGGCGACGAGGAATCCGTCTCCGAGGTGGCCCCGGCGGATCAGCTGGATCAGAAGAAGAAAGGGTTCTTGGCCTACTTCAAGACCAAGGAGTTTTACATCACCCTGTCTCTTGGGTGAGTGTCGTCGACCGCATCGGAGTGGCCGTTGACTAACCTGATACCATGTAGCCAACTGCTGGCAATTGCAAACACGGCGACCAGCACCTTCAGTACCCTGCTGAGCCAGAAAGGCACCTCCATCCCGGCCTTCCAGACCTTCTTCAACTATGTGTTGCTCAACCTCATCTTCACTTCTTACACTCTCTACCGGTACGGCATCAAGGGCTGGGCCCGAATGGTGTACAAGCACGGCTGGAAATGTATGAACCTCTTCCCCCCCCCCAAAAAAAAACCACAGGCCCTAACCTTGATAATCCTCTACAGATATCATCTTGTCTTTCTGTGACGTCGAAGGCAACTACTTCATCGTGCTCGCGTACCGATACACCACGATGCTCAGCGCACAACTGATCAATTTCTGGGCAATCGCCGTCGTCGTCGCCGTCTCCTTCATTTTCCTCCGCGTACGCTACCACATCTCCCAAGTGCTAGGCATCCTGATCTGCATCGGCGGCATGGGCGTCCTCATCGCATCGGACCACCTAACCGGCACCAACGGCGGGAACATCTCCAGCGGCGACCAGCTCAAAGGCGACCTATTCGCCCTACTAGGTGCCACCTTCTACGGCCTAGCCAACACCGGCGAGGAGTACTTCGTCAGCACGCGCCCCGTCTACGAAGTCCTCGGCCAGATGGCCTTCTTCGGGATGCTCATCAACGGCGCCCAAGCCGGTATCTTCGATCGGGCCTCCTTCCGCACCGCCGTCTGGGACAGCCAGGTCGGCGGGTACCTAACCGGATACACGCTCTGCCTGACGCTCTTCTACTCCCTGGCCCCGCTACTCTTCCGCCTCTCCTCAGCCGCCTTCTTCAACATCTCCATGCTGACCATGAACTTCTGGGGCGTCTGCATCGGCATCAAAGTCTTCCACTACACCATCCACTGGATGTACCCCATCGCCTTTGTCTGCATCATCGTCGGCCAACTCATCTACTTCCTCGGTCGTCGTCTGCTCGGCGAGTCACGGAAGCCCTGGCTCGGCCAGAACCAGGAGCGTGGCATTGCAGGCCTGTTTACCGCTAAGCGCCGGATTGACCACACCACTACCACTACTACATCTAATTCTAACCGCGATCTTGATGATCCCCGGACGACCGGTACGAGTGGGGTTTAGGCGTTATATATCCGGTCTTCGTTTATTATTGGTCTTTGTCCTTTCAGGACTGATTGTGACCTCAACATTGTGATCACTGTTTGGTTTTATCTATCTATATATACTCACTACTTGAATGTCACTTTTGTAACTATTTGAGTTGGGTGGTATGTCATCTCATTCACGTACAGAGGTGGCATACTCATGGATAAGACCCTTGGTTCATAGGCTACTCCTAGTTACCTACTGCGATTCGTAGAAAGACCACGCCGGGCTTGGTTATATCATAAGGTCTTGATCGTATTATATCATACCTATGTTACCATATCATTATCATCATATCATCAGTCATCATTATCATGGCCTGCAATGGAACAGCAAGTGTAGAGCAGAGCAGCGGGGTAGACTGAAAAAAAACAGATGATTAGATGCATAAGACTTCATACAAAAAAAACATAAATATTGGAAATAGAAATAGATATAAAAGAACACCCAGATGAATAGAAGGGATAAGCTATCTTCAGCTTTAAGGTGAAAAAATACCAGGTATTCGAGATGATAGTACTCCATGAATAAACGAAACAACCTTGTCCTTCCCAGTCAAACAAACCCTGAAATAAAATAGGTATGTAGGTATGATGATGTATAACAAAATATGAATGCTAACTCTTCTTCTTCTTCTTTTTTCCACCTTTTTTTATGTTATTGCTTTTTTACCAATGTACCTGCTCCCCTATTGTCCGGTGTTTTCCTTGCCGACTCCCCAATATAACAAACATCAGATCGAGAAAACCATTTCAATCCCAGAACGAAACACAGAAGATAGAACAGAATAGATAGAACAGAATAGATAGAATAGACAAAACATCCAGAACATCCAAAATCAATATCAAAAAGAATACAGTGGAACCTTTTAACCCATGATACCGGCAACCAGATCAAAACAACGAATGAACAAGACAGTCAAAACACCTGGAACCCCTCCCTTCCCGACAAATAAACGGCAATCTGCAAACACGCTCGAGCTCCGGGAGACGTACCGTACCCTCACATACATAAACATGGTAAACACAGGTATCCCCAAACCCCCAGACCAGACCGGCCGTGTAGGCCCCGCAAATCAGACAAAACACAGAGAAGAGAGGGATAAACAAAAGGGCCAGATGCATCAAAACACCAAGAGGAAAGAAAAACATGCGGTAATTACCGACTCCAGAACCCCAACAGGCCCGCCAAATATCTCCAGGCCATCCGTGTACGTTACCGATTAACTTGCTCCGCGCCTCCGGTCGCTAGAACAAAACGAATCCTTGCTCGACTTTCTGCCCATATGTACCGTGTTCGTGCCCAATGTTGAATCACAAAATCAAAACCCTCTCTCGGAACGCCGCGCGAGGAAACGATCATCTTTCTTTTTTTAATTTGTTTTTTCCATCTTCCTCTCCCTTTCATTCATTCAGTTTCTTTAAAGGTAGGTGTGTGTTCAACCCCAGACGGACGCCTGCACGCCCAGTCCATTCTTGGACCCCCACACTCCGCTGCCGTTACCCCAGCCACCCAGGGCCACACCACCGGTGGCTTCCTTGACGCCCGGGGCGGCAGTGGGATTGGACGACGATGAGGCCGACCGGTCGTTGGAGGACCGAGGGGCCGCAGCATCACCGGGAGTGAAACCAAAGCCCAGGGGGGACGGGAGGGGAGTGGTGGAGCGCTTGTTCAGGGACGGGTGGGGCGCCTGCACGGGCTGCTGCACGGGGCGGGAGCCGATGGGGCCGACGGACCCGATGGGACCGGTGATCGGCTGAGACGGGGCCTGCGACCGCGCGGACGAGGGCGAATCAGCACCGACGGGCGACGCGGTTGAGGTCACCGGCGGGTCGGCGCCAAAGACGGGGTTGACGCCGGAGCTGGGGGACGAGGTGCTGTTGGCACGGGACGGGGATTGGAGGGACGCGCCCGGGGCCACCGGGGCGATACCGCCGTCGGGACCGCCCGCGACGGGAGGCTGGGCAGCGACCCCGAACAGGTCCATACTGCGGGGGGAGGGACCCCGGACGCCGGCGGCCGATGACGGGGTGCCACCGGCCGGGGAGTCCGGGCCAGCGGCGTCGTCGGCGAAGGTACCGGGCGGGAAGAAGGCGGGGCTTTCGTTGCCGTACAGGGCCCTATGCTGACGAGCGAGGAGGTCACGGCGGCTGTCCTCGCTGACGGCGGCGGGACTGACGGAGCGATCGGACTTGTTTCCAGACATTTCGGCAAGCAGGCCTTTTGAGACAACCAAGAATTAAAAACCATGTTCAGAAAAAGACAAGAAGAGAGAGATAGGACCCAGAGTCCCAATGTACTATACAAGGCAACCAATACATGCGGGCCAGAGAAGAGTCAAGGGGAATAGTGACGGTGACGTGAAGGAATAAAAAAAAAAAAAAAAAAAAAAAAAAGCTCCAAAGACGATGCTACCACGTACTTCGGTTGTACTGTTGCTCCTGATGATAGTTGCGGAGCTCCCTCTCACGCTGTGCCGCCATCCGACGCTTTGCTTGCATCACGTGTTCCACTTCACCCTGGCGACCCTGGAATCGCTGGGAGGCGTAAAAGCCCTGCACGCTGGGGGTGGGGTGCATGCGGGATGCTTCGAAGTCACTGATAGAGTGATGGCGGGGGGGCATCGAGTTCATCGAACGGGGGTCTGACACGGAGAGTTAGCACGGGATTCGGACTCCGAGGCGTGGGTGGAAGAGGGACAGTTCATACCGTATTCGGGAAACTGACGGCCCATCATCATGGGCATGGAGTCCCGTCGGGGAGCGCTCCAGAGTTTTCCACTCTTGACGAGGTTATCGATCGCGCGGTCGACCTCTGAAAGTAAGACGTCAGTGACCATCAATCACATCGGGTCCAATCGCACCGTTGGTCCTTCGGGCTGATCGCACGGCTGCGACAGCCATCCGGCCCGATTTCCTTCTGACCGACCGATTCAACCAAGGACAACGCGACGATAAGGGTAGAAAACAGGTGTGGTCGTACCGTCAAACTGGGAGGAAAAAGCTGGAATATCCTCGCGCTGAGAAACCGAGCTGGAACCTGAGAGCGAATGAGTCGGCCGTTCACTTGGCGTTGATGGTTTCCCGCCTGAGATAGAAACATACCTGATCGCGACGGGGGCACGGGTTGCTCCCACGAGACCTGGCGGGTGGAGGCAGCAGGGGCCTGCCAGCCCTGAGGCTCGTAGTAGGACATGTTGACGGGGATGGGAGGCGAACCGCGAGAGGTCGAAATCGCAGCGCAGGGGAGAAGAAAGGAAGGAAGGGACCTGTCATTGAGAAAAGACCGGTGTAAGCAGGGGGATCCACCTTAGTCAGGGTGTAATCAACAGATTGAAAAATGAAGCGGGTGGTAGCGGAGGTCCCCGACGTGGAAAAGAACGAGAAAAGGCCGCCCAACGGGGCGAATGAGTCGAACAGTCGGATGAAGGAATGATCCCGATGGAAGGGATTAGTGTTTTGACGATAGCATCAGAGTTGCGGTAGCTTAAAATTCCAGCGATCCAGGATCCGGGGACCAGCGACGACGAGAGACGACGAGGCTTTTTTTTTTTTTCAGGGACACACGTGTTTGGAGCATTCCAGTCAATCGGAAACACGGGCCAGATCGGGTTATTTGGTGGATGTTGTTGATATTGTGATTTTGTCGATGTTTATTATTTTATTTGGATATATTCTTGAATTTTTTTTTTTTTTTGGAATTGATCTTGATGTTTGTCGCGAGTATTTGGGCGAGTGGTGGGCCGAGTGGGCTGGCGGAGAGCATCGACGAAAAGAAAAAAAAAA